ACCAAGCAGCAATGTCAGTAATAAAACTTTTAAGGATATCTTACAGAAGGAAACTGCTGTAAATTTCCTCAAGGGAAAACGAATTCAAGGCAATCTTACCGGATTTAAAGAAAGTGTAATATTTTCAGTTGTTTATGTTCTATTTATAAATCGTTTCAAGTAATTCGGGATTAATTAATTAATTAAGTTACCTTGACAGCTTGCCAGCAGTTTTTTACTTTTAATTCTCGGGCTAACGCCCTCGTTTCTCGCGGCAAGCGGCTTCGCCGCTCGCGTGCTCAGGTTTTGCGTGCAGTAACTTTGCAAAGAAAAATAAGAGACTGCTCACAGTCTACGCGTCAGTAACTTTCAAAATGGAGAGCAAAGTGTTCGTCGAAGAGACGGATAAAAATTTCGATTTTATCACGGAAATACTGTTCCGATTTCTTGGATTTGGAGATTATAAGGTTTCTATTGTCATAGAAAACTAGAATTAAATACTTTTTTGGAATGAAATGTCCAGTGGTGTTATGAATTTTAAAGATTCCTTTCTATCGTCGAGCAAATTTTACGGGCTATCATACCGACCGGTCACACTTTTGAGGGCCAGTGCAAAGCACGATTGACTTTACATTGTGCGTATTTTCAGCTCTTCAGAGCTAGTGGAACCCCATATCATTCCTCTCAAAGTTCGCTTAGCTGTAGCGTTGAAAGAGGAAGCTAAATGAGAGGTATTTGTGAGAGACTGTGAGCATTGAATCTTGTTGCTTTACCGCATTTTAATACTGTATTGGGCATACACCTGTGATTCTGATCTGTAATTAAATCCCGAAAACGAATAAAGAGTTTCGTTGAATTTTTTTTTTTTTTTTTGGGGGGGGGGGGGGGGGGGGGGGGGGGGGTGGCAAACCCAGTGGAGATTTTAGTGTAATAATATTGATGGTTAAGACGATGCACAAAAAGGCAAGTTTAACTTTCGCCAGTGGGTCACTGGTGGGTGTTGGGTGTAAATTAGTACAGTTTATGGTGTACTGTGTGTTGTTTGTCATGATGTCTAAACATTGAAAAAAATTCAGCTGTTTCAGAGGAGGGGCATGTCTTGAAGGCTTATGTGTTTTTTTCTGGTCGTAAGCTTGGCCAGTATGCAGATCAAGAGCTTTTGAAATCCCTTTTCCAAAATAAAACTCCGGACTTAAGCTTAAAATATATATTGATCCAAGTGCATAACCAGCAGGGTCAGCATTAAGAACAAAGAAAAAAAGGCCAAAAGGAAAAATAGTGTTAAAAAAAGAGAGACTAAACAGAGAAAAAAACAGTACAAAGAAACAGAAAACAACGTCGTCGGGAGTCGAACCCGGTTTATCTGCACGTTCAAGCAATTCCTTGACCACTGCACCACAGTGACACACTTAATTTGAAAAATTAATTTTGTCATATCAGAACAATTTTTCTCTGCCATAGACGCTGTTTGAAGCTGGTGGAGCTGTATTTATCATGAATTGAAATATACATTTGAGGAAAATAAGCTTAAGCCCGTCAGTTTCAAAGCTATTTCGTATTATTTCGGGTTCAACTGGCCGACTCGGATGGACGGTCGCTTGCGCGGTGTACGGTCACGTGATTTATAAAACCAAATTTTCTGGGATGGGTATTGCCTAGTCCCTAGGCCTCATTATTCCGCGCGGCCAAAGCGTTTCGGGTCACGTGGTCCGAGCGAAAACCCCTCGGATACGTCACCGAAATGAATTGACCGATAGGGACTGGGAAAACGCCAAACAGGTACTAAGCAAGGATGGGTAGATTTACTTAGCTATGGGGCTCCGCCCGCGCGCGCGAGGAACTCCGCTATAAATAGGTACTGATTTTTTGAGATTTTGCTATCTAAACATTCCTTGTCTTAGAGTAAATATTACTTTCATCTTTATTAGTTCCTCAAGCGATGAATTCACGCATAAGTAGGAAAACTCAAAAACAGACGTTTGTGTTGGTCTCCGGCCATATTTGTGCCCCTCAAAGGGACACCAACATGGCGTCTCCATACAAAGCTTATAAATTTGGGTAAGACATTTTTCCGAATATCTCGCATATAAATTATCGCACAGACCTGATTCATGGCGAAGCTTTTTGTATATTTATCTTCTTTCATTTCCTCGATTCTGGACTCTCTGTATTGATCGGTTTGCATTTTTATTTTTGATGGCGTTACAGTAAAAACCCAGAATTTAAGCAAAATGATGAGGACGCGCTAGGCGGTATAGCTTCCTGGAGAGTACCAGCCCCGGCTACTGGAGGGGGGTGAGTAGATTGAGCCCTTAGTCTCTTAGTCTTAGTCTCTGTCACCTGGTTATCACTCCGCCTGACTTAAAAGGACAAGGACAGCCATAACCCGCTCAGATGTCTTGCATGGAATTAGTTTCAGTGTTTTATTAGTCTCATTCATTGCCAGCAGGAAGGCAATACAGATGTAGTTTTACCCATCTAGTATTGCTTAGAGTTATGCGAAAATAAGTTTTCGAATATGAACTGCTGTTATACTGTTTTAAGCCGGAGTAAGGTCTCCTCAGTTTAGAATTCAACTGACAGCCATGGCCACGCACAGATTGGTCCCCTTTCAGGGTTTTTAAATTCTAATTTAACGACGAGCATCATCGTCTCTTTTACATGGGATTTCTGTTGTGTCGTTATGCCTTTGTGATCATTAAAAATACATGTCCACTGTACGAACAACGGACACATTCCTGTGTCCCTCCCGAGTCACAACCTCCATACATAGTCAACCCCGTTTTACGGACACTGTTTGACCACACTTTCTATGGGTTTACCGGCGTGATAACCCACGCGGGAGAACACTCGAAAAGCTTGTAAATCACTCGTTTCTCGTGTTCTCGCAACATCCCGCGTGGGTTATCACGCCGGCAAACCCATAGAAAGTGTGGTCTATTGCTTAAAATTCCTTCAAAAGGGGGCGATAATTCGAGGGAGGCGATTAATCGAGGGACGGCTATTATTCGAGGAAATACGGTACTTGTTCTAGACTCATCACCAAGCTTCAAATCCATAAATTAATAGCGTGTCAAACATCTGTTCTTTATGATCAAACCGAACTTGGATTTTCGGATAAGCCCAGAATAAAATCCCCGGTGACCTTGCGGAGCTTAATACAAACTATGCTTGACATTTTCGATGCATGACTTCCTGTGCGAAATGCGGGAATCATTCTTTAGGTAACTTTGTTTTAGCTGTCCGACCAAAATTTACAACACGGTTGACGCTGTCATGTCAGTGATTGCCCCCTGGAAATTAGCGAGGGCTATTTTTAAAGCACGCAAGGTACTGGTTTAAAAAGCGCGTTTTAGGTGCCACATTTTCCAAAAGCAAACACAATGAATCGTGTTCGCTAGGCCATTGTTGGAGTCGAGCCGTTTTGGTTTAAGATTATTAATAACGTAAGAGAACTGACACCCATTTAGACGAATGTGCGTCAGTATTATCGGGGATTCATTTGTTTATTTCGCCCGCCGCAGAGAATCTTTTCATTGTTCTAACTCTAAAAAATACATGGCGAGAGTGGCTAGACGACTCTATAATTGTCTTTGTTGGACCCACAGGAAACACAAAAGAGCCCCTTTTTGTTAAGGGAGAAAATAGCATGTGCTTCCATGAATTTCTTTGGAAATATCGCAGGTAGAACCTGAAAACTTGACAACACCATGCTGTGACAGGCGACCTCATCATAGACGGGCAAATAAATGCAAATAAATATTTGAACTGAGTTCTATCAAGAGCCATAATGGCTCTTGGTTTTATTTATAGACTGTCATTTAGCGGGTCATCTTTTAATGTTTCTCGACGATAGCCGCTAGTCATCATGTTTTAGCTGATCAAAATACAGTCTGAAACTAATCTCGCGTAGACAGGAATACGGAACAGAAACATCAAAAAAACATAATTTAATATGGTGGTTTACGGAACGCCAGCAGGCTCACAAATGACATGCATATTATGAACTTTTCGTGCAAATGGCTTTCTTTTGACATAAGACCGAGACAAAATAAGGGGATTTAAAATAACATGAAAATGGGTTTCAACTAATTTAATGATTTTTTGAAAAACATCCGATTCATTCTTTTCTACTTATGAATTATTTAACGTATCGAGACAGCTGTGGGCTGTTTTCTTTCCTCTCCCGACATAATGTCCATTCAAATTCGATAAAGAAGCTCTTCAATGTAAACATTTCGGGTGGTTTCTTTCACAATTCATTGTAACGATTGCGCCCGCTTACTTAGAATTTGTCTGAATCTTTGATAAATGGTGTAAGCCGTCAAATTTGCGGCTTGGATCCCGCCTCGTTGATTAACATGGCGTAAAAGCAGAAACAAAGCTGTAACGAGGTCCAAGAACTTGTCTAGACAGCTCAATAAAGCCGTCTAGACAGTGGTGCTAGCTTGACACAACATTTTACTTCAATGGTTTTGTTGTCTAAGCGAGTCGCACGCAATTGGTCAATTTTACCCAAGCAATAATTTCTTTGCCAGAAAAGACAACGTCGACAAAAGACAACCTAGTCTTTTTGATAGCTACCTGTTCTTGCATTATCATCATGGCCATGCAGTTAATAATTCAGTGCCAATACCATTTTTAATTTGTCGAGAAAAAGATTGTCCCCGACTGACAACATCCACGCGTTCGTCGTGGCCTGTGAAGTTTTTCGCAAACATATTTTGACCTGTGTCATTGCACTGATCGATCAATGGGCTACAAGAAACAGAAACATATCGCAAGTTTTTGCCAGACGTTTTTCTGGTAATTTTAGCCGCCGAAATAGCCTGTCACATGCTCAGATGTCAAATCGACAGCTAACAATAACGGTACATGCAGGAAATGCACAGAGCATGTGCGAAAGCTGAACAGACTCGCCGCCGACTGTCTACTGATCCGAAAACGTCTTCAGACGCTTTGCACGCGACCGACACTCTCCTGTCTTACACAACGGTATTTGGGTGAATAACTCATCCAAAATGGATCGCCGTAAGTTCTCACGATCAGACAACCCTCTTATAGATGAGATCCTACAGAAATACCGGGATTGCTCAACGGAGTCAATGACTGGACCAAAGGGGTTGACCGCGAATCGTTCCACCGTGAAGAAATCGTGGAATTCAACAGATGACTACGCTAAACATAACACGTATGTTACGTCTAGTAGCGAGCATTCAAGGCAGGCTGTCATGAGCAAGACATTTACAGTAAGGTTACCACCACCGAAGGGACAAGACAACTTTAACTTCAAAGAAACAATCATCGATGGCGTTCCTTTAGCATGCTTTAGTTCTGGCGGAGAAAAGCGTGTCTGCTACACTGAACTTGTTAATAAAGTCCTGAAGGACTTTGACAGCAAAGAAATTGACGCTAATCGCGACCGTCTTCAGATCTACTGCCCTCGTTGTTCGCCTCAACAGCTTGAATTGTTCAAATTAGCTGGAGTTTTACCGTGGTCGGCTTCATCAGCGAGTTTTATCTCCAAAACGGATGCCTTCCGCTTAATCGGTGTATTAACCGCGAGCGAGGTCCCACGCAGACCAAGTCGCATTTTCAAAGTTGACAGCTTAGAGGTGTATCATGAATGTTTTGGAGGTTGCGTGGGTACACTGGAAATCGACAAGTACACTGATCCGTATGCAAAATGCATAACATGTTCTCAATGCGACGGGATATTGTCCCCTCGGAGGTTTGTCATACACAGTCATTCCTCAGGTGAAATTCATACATGTCACTGGGGATTTGATGACTCGAAATGGCGTCTGTACTTGATGCTCTGCAACGAACACCCTACCTTACACGTCCAGAAACTGTGGGAGATGCTTATGAATAAATTCTCGGACGGACAGCGATGGAAAAGGGCTTCCCCCGCAAATGATCACGAATCAGATGGGAACGAGCGAAACGACGGCTCAAGTACTCCGAAAAGGGCGCGCATGGGTGACTCGCGAGAATCGCGAGAAAGTGATAGCGAAGTTGGTGATGGAACCTATACTAACAAAAACAACAACAGCAGCAGCAGTAGCAGTTCGAACGTGGAAATTGTAAGCAGACGTTCTGCATTTAGACCATGGTCTCCCTTGCATAGCCGAGTAAAAAGTACTGAAAGCTCCATCACCACTTCGACTCAAGGCATGATAGTATGTAGTTCTCCAGCCCGTCTTTTCTCTCCTCATACCATCCCGTATCTAGCGAGTGATTCCCCGTACACCCCGCGCAATGTTCTACCTTTTCATCGCACCACTATACACGGCGGGGACATTAAAAAACCAGTTGCCAATAAAGTAGAGTCACGACTTGGCTCACCGACTGCTTCATATACCGTCAGCGGAATTCTCGCAACTCCATCCGCTAAAGATCCGAGATCACTTGAAAAGACGGCAAAAGAAATGCTAGAGGTTGTCGCTGAAAACGAACGATGGCCTTCAGAATATGAGAAGTTCAGTGATAGCCGCGAAGAAAGCAACGACAGCAAAAATGCGCAGTTGGAGGAACAGATATTCAGAAAGCTAACGAGTTTAGCAAGCAACAATGATTACGACAAGCTCCCTTCACCAAGAGAATTAAGTCGTTTATTAGCCAAGGAAATCAAGGATATATATTGCAATCACGCCGAGGACAAAGTGAAAGAATTGACCGACGCGCGAGACAAACTGCGAGTAGAGTTGGAGTCTCTGCAAAGGGAACACGCTAAAAAGATGGAGGAAGTTTTGCAAGAGCTCAAAAGCGTACAAAAGGAAACGAGGATGCGGCAAACGAGCCACAGGCTTGAAATGGAAAGTTTGAACGAGAGAAACGTAAAATTGCAGCTCGAAATTAAGAGATACAAAGCCGAAAAGGACGACATATTATCTATGACCTCAAAAGAGACTATAAATGTCTTACAGCAAGATGTCAGAGACTTATCCAAAAAGTTAGAGGACAAAGATAATTATTGTAGAGAGTTAGAGAACGAAATTAAGGGGTTCCACTCGTGGATTAACAATCAGAGACTACACAGTGCTGGTTCTCATTTGATTTACACAGTGAATAGCAACCCCAGACTAGAAACCGAGTCTATCATTAGAGCACAGCACATGCTGAATGGAACTGCAACTGCTAGTTATATTCCACACAAAACCAAGAGTTCTAATGGCTCCTTACATAATGATAGTTCAGAAGATGAAAAGTGAATTTTGAATTAAAACAATGCGAAGAAACTCTATCCCATCTCTACTTCTATAAATTGCAGTCGGACAGAACCGCGAAAGAGAACAATAATACGCAAAAAAACATAACTAGTTTCTTTGAGATAAAACATCATAATGTCTGAGACGTAATGAAATCAACAATTTTCCTTTCAAATCAAATTTGATTTGACTATCACTGTTGCATATAAATGCGATGTTAATTCAAATGCTATAAAATAAGATCTCAGAGGGAAAAAAAATCCGTGTACAAGAAAATTAAAACTATAATTTTGCCGCCTGGTGCTTCATTTTCAGTGCCTTTCTTCCGTGCTGAAATAAATCGTATTTTCATAAAAGACCACGATGCAGCCGTACCATTGAAAGCGTAGTCTAAACATTTTTTGCTTTCTTTGTGACGCCCTCTGGTGTTTACATTTTGGCTTGCCATTAATCTAGTAGAAGGCGCCATAACTTAACGTGTTGTCGAGTTTATAACTGAAAAGGAAAGCAAATATCATAGACTGATATAGATCAGGTTTATGCTAACAAAATTGTTAATGAGGTTATTCCAAGGAATATATTACTGATTTTTCCAGTGGTAAAAAATGTTATCAAATAAAAGGAGGAGCCGACTGACATTAATGCCAAGTGCACTTTCCTTATTTAAAACTCAGCCAAAATAATTTTGATTGGGGCAAAATTGCTTGGAGCTAATGGTCTCGGAACAATTGATTAATATTTGTGTTTTTGAGTTACGCCGACCGGCTAGACATAACAATCTCTAAGTTTGGTTTTTGAAAGAGAAACCGATATATCAACTCTCAAAACAAAGGAGCTACTAGTAATTCAAGATGCATGGCTATTTTTGTATCGTCTGCCGGGTCAATGAAATGCTAAAAACAGCTGGAGAATTTTTGACCGTTTCAAAGTGGTCCGAAACTAGCAGAGACGGTATTAAAAAACTACATGTTGAACTAATTTGTCGCACGAAATCTCCAGAACAGATCGGCTATAATATCATTTTAGGAAGAGAACAGATGGATTAGCAAACGAGGATGTACTATAAGTATGAGAAATGTCGGTTTAATAGCCAAATAGAAACATGATAAAATATCCCAAAATATTCATGTTCTGATTTATTCTATTATCGATATTTAAGCAACCCTTCGCAACTCCTGGGGAAATTAATGAAACCATCTTTTTTTCGATGTGGAAGGATGACATAAACGCCAGCTTCTTTATACGGCGCAAAGTGATTTCGTGCTTCTCCGAAGCGATTCGAAGAGATATCCGAAATACGTGGAAAGAAACGATTCGAGGGAAAGACACGAACAATACAGATGTCATGTCAGTATTTTTACTCAAGCAACGCCGAGTATAAAGAAAAAAAAGGAGATATGTAGTAGCAGTAGTGGGTTTGAGTTGCTCCTCTTTTGACGGGAAACGACAGCCTGCAAAAACTGAATGTAGTTTGCATTTAAATAAAATCGAAATCAGTCATGAAAGGGTAGGCTCAATAGTTATACAGATCGTCAATTTGAATGTGCGACAGTGAAATAATTATCGTCGTTTTAAGACAAAACGCTTCCGGGCAACTGAAGCAAGAAACAGAAAGAGAGGCAATATTTTACTTAGTCTGTGCTCGCGAGTTCGACGGATTAACTAACTGATTCAATATTTGGAGTTTTCTTGAATCAAATAGAAAAAATAAATAAACAAAGATGAATTTCACCTTTTAATACATGTGTCACGTGTTCGGCTTCTTAATTTGTCTATTGTGGGTGCACTAGAAACTTTTGAAGAAATTCATTCGGCTAGAATTGTGTCAATTAATTTTTGGAGAGTTCTTCAAAAAGCGGCAAACAAAGAGTTCAGTATTGGTTAGGGCCGGGTTGTTCAAAGAAGGGGTTAAGATAACCCAGGGTTAGTACAAAATTTGAATTTAGATATCGAAGCTTAAAAAGCAAAATCAGTGTTATTATTTTTGTCTACAGTTTAATGATTGGATGGCCTAAAAAGAATAGAGAAAATAATCCCGGAAAATGCTTTTGAACAAACGAAAAGGAAACCCAGGTTAAACTTCAACCCTGGGTTAGCGCTATTCGGCCTTCGAACAACTGGACCCAGTACTTTAGTTGACGGTTTTGATGCCTGGCATCCATCTTCTCAAAACTGAAAAGCGCAGGGGCTTTATAGGTGTTAATTATGCAAGTAATGCAAAGTCAGTCTGTCGATTATGAGGAAAAAATGACTAACACTAGGTTGAGTGACGCTCACACGCATAAAAAACTGCGGACCCAACTAGTTACAACAAAAAGCTGATCGAAAAACTCACCAAGCTTAAGAGCGATTACAATACAAGGGAATGGTTAAATCCCTTTTCTGGACACAATCATCACTAGGGGGGATGATGGGACCATCAAACTACTGATCTACAGCAAAGGAAAAGCCACACACACAGAGATCACAATCAGCACCTGTCTTTTCAATCATATCATCCGGTTCGTTATAAACTGACTGGAACTAGTCCGCACGTTACTGGACAGGAGTAACAGTATTATCACAGATCGGAGGAAGAGACCGTAGAAAAGAGGAAGCAAGGCAACTGATAAAAAGAGTAAAAGAGCTGAAGAACAGCATGGCAAGAAAACAACTAGAAGGTCAACAGCATCAAAGACAAAGCACAGAATATATCAAGAGGAATGGTGGTTGTCCCGCCATATGTCCATTCATTCACTGAGAAAATGCAACTGACTGCTTTTGGCCAAACATAGAGTTGCCAAAGTGGCAAGAACTCAGAACACTGTTTCGTCACTGTTAGACGAGTCCTCCAACATGCATGCAAACAACATCAAGATCAGGGAAACGGGCCGACAATTGACACAGGATGACAGAACATAGAAAGGAGGCAGAAACGATCTAAAACAGGAATTTTACGAAATCCAGTACAGTAGAACTTCTACCAATGAGTTTAAAAGAAGATTCAAGGAAAGTATTCACATCAGAAAGAACTCTCCTGCTATGGCATTTACAAGTTCTGGAAAAGATGTAACAAAGATGGCTGATAGCCACCGAAACCGTCAACTGTACAATACTGAACTCCAGTGTTTTTTTTGTCTATATTTAAGAACTCGTAAAAATGTAGACTCAGTTGTTTGCGCTTAAATTTTTCTTCTCGGTATTATCTCACGTTTAGAAAATAGAAAAAAATGGCTGGCTCTCATCAATGGCCATAACATGAGCTGAAAATATTTCTTCAGCTCTTATGATTACAATTGAGAATGTTAAAATTCAGGGTTAGCAGCGGCAGGGGAAGTTAGTATAAAATGGTAGCCTTGAAGCCTGTAAAAAAAACTCAGTGTTGTTGTTTTCACTTAATTTATAATTTAGGTTGTGCTTTGACAAGTTCAGCCTTCTTCTAATCAGCCGCGACGTTAACTATGTATTGTAAAGAAACTGGAGAGTAGTCTGGCTGGAAATGTGTAAGCTGCTTAATCTTGAGATGATGGGGCCTTATTTTACAAGTTCTCTTTTATTTTTACTGCGGGCGGCCATCTTGTTTTAAATGGTCTAAGTCTGGTCTTGTGATGAGTATCAACTCTACTTACATTTGAAACTAAGATGGCCGCTTGTGACGGGAAGTGTTCGATCTCGACGATCTTACTGAAAAATAGGCAGGACTAATAGGGGCTGGGATTGTGAGCAGTCTACTATTTGCCAGCCAAATTGGCTAGTTTCCCGGCAGAGCCATAAATCCTAGCGGCTTACGAATGGCAAAAGGAACGAATATTTTTGTGAGGACTTGCGCCAGTTATGATTGTCAGGCGCAGAATAAAAAATACCCACTCATTTGGTAAATCACTTGATCTGGTGTTACGGGTAACAAAATGAACTTCAGGTAAAAGAAAACAGTAACTTTAACATTGTTGATTTAAGTCAATTTGTAAGTTTGTTCAAGTAACGAATTGACATATTTTACACTACTACCGTATAAAATCCTCTGTTAAGCCCCCCGGGGGGCGTAATTTATTTCAAGCCCATTTGAGGCGGGGGCGGGGGGGGGGGGCTTAATAGAGACGGGAGGCTTACTTAACTTAGAAATGACGATGATGTCAGTTCTCCATAAATAGTTAGAATACTAAGTGGAAAAACTCAAGTACAAGAAGTTTTAGGTCATGCAGCCAAGGATCAGAATCAAATCTGAACTTTCAGTTGGTTAATAAACCATCCCGGATCAGTCCACACAAAGTTTTACAGTCGTAATAGATTAATACATCATTTATTAGTGAAAAATAATTAGGGGAAGGGAAGGGGGCTTAATAGAGAGGGGGGGCTTATTTACTTTCTTCCCCTGAAAAGGGGGGGGGCTTATTAGAGGGGGGGGCTTAACAGAGGATTCACGGTATATATATGAAGGCAACATTGCTAAAACCGACGTCGGAAATTATTTCTTTTAAAAACAACAGTATTGAACCCATCATTTCCTCGTTTACCTGCCCACATAGCAAGCTGCACATGACACCTTTGTCTTCTGTTCGCGTTTTAGTTTCTTTCTTTCTGTCTGTCTTTTTTTTTCGTTAACACTATAGTTTTTTTCCTGAATGAGGCGAAAGCGGACAGGTAACAGGCAACCCTCCCGTGAATTCTTTACTAAGCTCCTGTGATATTTGTTACTATTTGCTGTACAACGTGATCCCATTGTAGCTTTTCGCCGGTTGAGTGAAAGCTGTTGAACAGTGATTTCCTGTGGCCTTGTATGGATGGATACAGACTAAGGACTAATCCGTGAGGCTGTACAAATAAACCCCAGATGTACATGCAAAACACCGCAGGAAAGAAAAGCCTGTTTGACGGATTTCATGTACGGATTTAAGGAAAAAACGCCACGTTTAGAATGTCTGAATATAGAAAGTAAAAGCACTATAAGTAGCTCTGATGTAAATGATTTCAAAAAGGCCACCAAGCATATGCCCGTAGGTATATGTTTTTTTAAAGCACCAGAC